CCTGCACCTTGTTGTCTCGGATTCTCCAGCATCTGCAGTTCCTACTATCTCTGACCATATTGTACTTGCTTGTTAGGATCCAATAAGAGGAATGAAGGCTGATGAATACTTTGAGAAGCTTACGTGATAGCATTAGCCTTTGGCCAATGGAAGTCTTCAATGGTTTTTGACTTCTACAATTCCTTTGTCGTTTGAGCTGCAGTTTGAGAATTTCTTCTTCTAGTCGCTGATTTTCTACCTCCAGAGAAATCAGCTCTGAATCCAAATTGCGCTTGAATGTATCACGTTCCCCTGTTAATAAAGAAGGAATCTGTTCAAATGCAGATTTCAATAAATTTTATTTAAATATACAAACTGGGCTTCTAATACTTAGGGAAAAGGTAGAAGATTGCAGGCATAAAATTAGAAACCCCGAGTACGTGGAAATTCTGCTAAAGTTAAGGTCAGGACCTCAATGTAGCTTCAGTTGTCCAGACAGAAAAGACAGCCATAGAAGCTGTAGTCCAAAATGATTATGAATACATGACCATATGAATATTAGGAGTAGGTACTGCTACTAAGACATCTCAAGCCTACTCCACCACTCCCCAAAATAATGGTTGATCTGATTTCTCCAGATTCCCACCTATCCCTATTGACTATTCACCCATTGCTTGCTAGGAATCTACCTATCTTTGTCTTAGACATTTTCAAAGACTCTGTTTCCACTGGTCTTTGATGAAGAAGTCAAAAATTCATGACTGTCTGTGAGAAAACTTATCTCCTGCTTCTGTCTTATTTTTTAGAAGTGGCCTCTAGTTTATTTCTATTTATACTGCCAGTTCATCTGCTTTGTTTCAAATGCTACAGGCATTTAGATACTGCGCCTTTAATTTGGTCATTCCTCACAATCATAAAAACGATTTTGGGTTTGAATGAGATGGAGGGCTCACAGTGACAATGATGAGGGACAAATCACAGGCTGAAGGGGGCTGACTGGTGGATTCCAAGGCAGGTGGACCGGGAGTGTGGGCCAGTGGATGGTAGCCAGATCACAGCACCGAAGAAAGGCATAAGTTTTGCTCTAGGGTTGGGGGTGTGGTAATAAGCAAGGTTCTGTATATCACCAATCTCTGTAGCCAACTGCTCCCTTCTTCAGTTATCTGTGGAGCCCTGGGAAACACAGCGAGCCATCAGCAACTGTGACATTTAAACCAAGCTCCCTATCGCACTGCACAATCTGAGTGATTGGCTTGTTTAGGGTTAATCATATCTGTGGGAGCCTGGTGTCACACCAACTTTCCCATCTGTTTTGTGCTGTGGAGCAGCTTCTATATTGCTGTATCCAATAGTGCTTGTGTGCTTCCCTCCATTTTTAAAGAATTACTTGTAGTTGAATTATGTACCTTCCTCTATTTTCTGATACAGATATTCATACTTAGGTTAAAATGATCTTCTTTTTGTATTCAACTTGGCCAGATATCACTTCTGTCTGTTTGTGAGGAGAACAATCCAGAAAGGGCAATAAGGAAAAGAAAGGGCCAGATCATAATCTAAAAAGAATAGCCTGCTCCCTTGTTCAAAAGTCAAGCCGCCCTCAGTGCTGGTTGGATATGATGAGACATTGACTAATGTATATCTTTGCACAACAAGCTTGCTATGTTCCTCACAAGTCTGAAAGTCTTTCCTATCACTAAACAAAATTCTACACAACCATACTGTAATTCCTCTCCTTCCGTTGAATTTTTGGATGCTTCACCCTCTGTTCCAGTTGCAGAGCTTCAGCCAAGAGGTCATGCAGTTGGACAAGGATCAACTGATCGTTACCACCATTCTGTAGGTAGGAAAGTCGCAAAGCACTGCAAAGAAATTCAGATGCTTGAATCGTTAAAATAAATCACACAGAGGGTATCATCAATCAATTCTGAAAAATAGACCGAACAACTTTTGTCAGCTACTCCCAACACAACAGACATGCTATCTGTTGGTAAGCAGAGTAGGGCCCAAGGAATCAGGGAGACAGTGGTACAATGGTAATATCGCTAGACTGAAAACCTAGGGGCCCTGGCTTATAGTCTGGCAGCCAGAGTTCAAATCTCACGGCAACTGGTGGAATTTAATTTCAGTTAAGGCATCTGAAGTTAAAAACTATTTTGGACCATTGGTGAAAACCCCACTTGTTACACTAATGCCTTTAGGAAAGGAAATTTGCCAACCTTATCTGATCTATAAGTGACTCCAGACACACAACAATATTCATGACTCTTAAGTGGCTGAGCAAGATATTCAGTTGTACCAAGTCCTGAATAAAACTGGATGATCAACCCAACATTGACCTAAGCACCAGAAGCAGCAATGAACACCTTGCCCAGTTGATGCAGCAAACATTTCCTGGCCAGCATCTGGGGTCTAGTGCCAAAATTGGAAGAACCCCAAACACCTTCAGCACCATAATAAAAGCAAACTACTGTGGATGCTGAGAATTTGGAACTGAGACAGAAAGTGCTGGAGAGCATCTGTGGAGAGAGAGACAGCATTAAATTATCAATGGTAAGGTCCTGGACAGTGTTGCTGAACAAAGAGACCTTGGAGTGCAGGTTCATAGTTCCTTGAAAGTAGAGTCGCAGGTAGACAGAGTAGTGAAGATGATGTTTGGTATGCTTGCCTTTATTGGTCAGTGCATTGAATATGGAAGTGGGAGGTCATGTTGCGGCTGTACAGGACATTAGTTAGGCCACTTTTGGTATACTGCTTGCAATTCTGGTCTCCCTGCTATAGGAAGGATGTTGTGAAACCTGAAAGGGTTCAGAAAAGATTAATGAAGATGCTACCAGGTTTGGAAGGCTTGGGCTATAGGGAGACACTAAATAGACTTGGGCTATTTTCTGTGGAGCTTCAGAGGCTGATGGGTGACTGTATAGAGGTTTATAAAATCATGAGGGGCATGGATAGGGTGAATAGACAAGGTCTTTTCCCAGGGGTGGGTGAGACCTAAACTAGAGGGCATAGATTTAAGCTGAGAGGGGAAAGAATTTAAAGGGACCAGATGGGGCAACTTCTTCACGCAGAGGGAGGTGTTCGTATGCAATGAGTTGCCAGAGGAAGTGGAGGAGGCTGGTACAATTACAACATTTAAAAAGGCATCTGGATGGGTATATGAATAGGAAGGTTTAGAGGGATATGGGCCAAGTGCTGGCAAATGGGCCTAGATTTATTTAGGATATCTAGTCGGCATCGACGAGTTGGACCAAAGGATCTGTTTCCGAGCTGTATATCCCTATGGCTCTGCGACTCTAAGTCTGCAATGACTCTTCGTCAGAACTGAACTTCAGTCACTGATAACATGAAGACACTATGTCCAGCGTGGCAGCAAGTCCCCCTCCAGGAGGATGTAGGTGTTAATGACTTTGAGACTCGACATTCTCAGTCTTCTGTTCTGCATCTGTTCTGAGAGGTTAAGGGATCCAAGCCTCTGCCTGTACGGTAAAGTGGGTGGTGCTTCCTGCCAACTCTTTTTCTCACCAGTAGTTCCCTGTAGGGGAGGAATTGGCTGCTCGTGGATGCTGATGGCTTATGTCTCTCAGAACTTCTCTCACCAGGACAATGTTCCACACAGTAGAAGAGCCCTGAGTATTTATTCAGAATGAAACACCTCAATTTTAACCAATCCTAACGAAGTGCCCAATCCAGCCTTATTTTCACTGGAGAATTTCCAAAACCTTGGGACAGATTTTCAGGATGCACTTAATTTTAAATGACTACCAAAATGTTGTGACCGGCAACTTATTTAGACTCAGACTCAGCTGTTAAATCAGAAATAGCAGATGCTCAGCCAGTTACCATCAGGTTTTGCACATTTGTTGATCACATGTCCAAACCCTGAAACCTCTTTTGTGATTTAATTAAATTTCGGCTGATCTCCAGTTAATTCCCACTCTAATTCCATATCCATGATGTTCTGGCCAGACAAATGTCTGTCTTATTCTTGACAGCTCTGTTTGTTCCAACATCCACACATATCTAAGGTAGAAAATTTCAGATTTCCCCCATCATTTGCTTCGAAGAACTGCTTCGTCATTCCTTTCTAAATGGTCTAACTATAGGAGCAGGGTCTTCTCTGGTGTCCAGGACAATATTTATCTCTCAACTAGCATCATAAATAAAATTGAGATTTCTGGGCATTATTATATTGTTGTTTACGGAACTTTGCTGAGCTCATACTGGCTCCAGTGTTTCTGGATTAGTGACTGCACTTCAAAAATACTTTATTGGCTGCAAAATGCTTTGAGACATCTAATGTTCTTAAAAAGTGATAAATAAATGCAAGTCCCTTTTTATTCCTAATCCAAATCCCGTGTGGGAAAAAAAAGGGCATATTTGTTTTTTTTTCATCTTCTACTAGTTTTAAATGATTTGTGTACTTAGAGTTCCAAATCACTTTGTTCATGCACAGTTCATACGTTCTTCACCATTTAGAAAGTGATCCAATTTAACTTCTTAGGTATGAAGTAGATGACAATATTAGTGACATTAAATCCCATCTGCCCCAAATTATCTATTTACTTAACATCAAAAAATCAGATTCTTACAGGACTGTCCAACAAGAACAACATCAGGAAAGGTCAGAGGTATGAAAGTGAAACGGTGCTGCTGCAGATTACTGCTCCACCATTAGCTTTGTGAAAACTACATCCTGCAGTTTGGCTATTTATTCAAATAACACTGTGCAGCATGTTGACCCTATACTCACGCACTAGATACAAATTAAACTGGTTAAAGCTATCATTTCAAGGCTAAACATTATTTAAATGATGCGATGCATGTTAATAGCTGCCAGTCAACCCTTTTGATATTGAAAATGAATTATAACGAGTATGAAATCTCATTCCTTTCATTGCTTGTGAATTTTTTAAAAATGAAGACAACATTTTTTTTTTCTGTCGCCTTTCTCCTTGTCTCTAATTCCAGTCTTTCTTTCTTTTACTATTGCAGTTTGGATTTGCTTTAAATTCACCAAGTAAAATTATATTTATGTCTCTTCATCAGTCTTTGAACTAAAAAATCAGATTCTGAATTAGTGAAGAGTTAGACAGTTGCTTGCTTGTTTACTCAGACTGCACACTTTTGGCTCACACTTACAGCAACTTGTAGAGCAAAATATCGTTGGCATTAAAGAGGTGAGGAGAAATTTAAATAATAGCTGTTGGTCTACCACAACAACATTTAGGTCAATTCATCTCTTTGCATCATGTAACAATTGAAAAGAATAGACATCTTTGAGTTCGCTGCTGTAAATTTAAAACTTGCAGACATTCACACACCTCTGTGTTTCTATATGGAAATAGAGTCCAATGTCCCAGCAAGTACAGTGAACAGTTTACTCACATCACAGGGTGTGAAATCCTTGCCTTCCTAATTCTGCACATTTCCTGGTACCTCCTCGTGCAAGTGCAACCACTACACCAGGTTGCCCTGCAGTTTGAATTTCTATTTTCTGTTTTAATTTCTTTTTGAGTTATCGCTGCTGTTAAAAAAAAAAAGCCCAACTAACTCGAAACTGTTTTTATCCCCAGGCTATGCTGCCAATGTAAAAAAATTAATATTGAAAGATATTGGGAGGATCTTATAGGAGCCTGTATGATATGGGCTACGGTGAGAGATGTGGCAGAATCCCACAAGAAATCTAGTGAGATCTTAACAGTGGGAATAACTTGCTGCATCCTTAACTAGGTTTTGGGTATTGAAGCAAGATTGACACTAGGCAGTGCCATGTTCCTTATTAAAGAGTATTATTGCTAGTTAATGACCTTATTAACTGCACATCTTGCCTCATTCATACGCAGCTTCCTATCCTACCATTTGCCACAATAAAACCAGATGCTGAACATTCTCAACATGGAAGTCAGAACAGGAACCTGATGACTTCAGCTAACTCCAAAGAGCTTCCATATTGTTCAGCATGCCAGGGCGTCTTAGGGCATGATCCACAAGCACCAGCTACACACATTCACAGACATTAGCATCTAATAATTGCCCACATCTCAGGATCCTTATGACACCTCTCAAGTCCACTTAGGAAGTACAGACATGCATTTCAGGATGCAGCAGGAACAAGCATTGAAAGATTACTGCGAAGACAATGTGCGCAGCTATGGGCACCTAGCTGAAAGATTGGACCAGGTTGGATATTAGGTCTGTTTACGTGGTGACTTAGTTAACACCTACCTGCATGCTCACTGTATCCATGTCTTGCCTTGCCTTGCCAGGTCATGCCTATTATCATGTTAGAGCTTCTGTCAGAGACTACCGGCTATCATAAACATAGAACATAGAACAATACAGCACAGTACAGGCCCTTCGGCCTACGATGTCGTGCCGACCTATTATCCTACTAAGATAAATCTACCCTGCATACTCTACATTTTACTATCCTCCATGTGCCTATCCAAGAGTCACTTAAAAGTCTCTAAAGTATCTGACTCCACCAACCACTGCCAGCAGGACATTCCACACGCCCACCACTCTGTGTAAAGAACCTACCTCTGACGTCTTCCCTATACCTTCCTTCAATCACCTTAAAATTATGCCCCCTCGTAATAGTCATTTCCGCCCTGGGCAAAAGTCTCTGACTATCCACTCTACCTACACCTCTCATCATCTTGTACACCTCTATCAAGTCACCTCTCATCTTTCTTCGCTCCAATGAGAAAAGCCCTAGCTCCCTCAACCTTTCCTCATAAGACCTGCCCTCTGGTCCAGGCAGCATCCTGGTAAATTTCCTCTGCATCCTCTCTAAAGCTTCCACATTTTTCCTATAATGAGGTGACCAGAACTGAACACACTATCGAATCTGCCTACTGACACGCTTGTTTGAACAGCTTCTTTTTACTACATCGAATTCCACCCTGCATTAGCTCAGGCTCATCCAAAACTTTCCTGTCTGTCTGCAAATCCCATTCATCAAACACCCTTGTGCTCACTGACCAACACTACCATCAAGTTTTCTTGAACTATTTTCATGGGATGTGAGCATCATTGAGAAGGCCAACATTTGTTGCTTGGCTCTAACTGTCCATGAGGAAGTGGTGATGTGTCCTTATCTGCTGCTGTCCATCTGGCATCCAACCATCTGAATCCCTAATGTCTCAATAATATTGCCATTCTTGAGTTTAAATCCTTTCACAGTCTTGTCTTCCTCATCTTTGTAACCTCCTCCAGCCCTGCAACTTGCAAAACCTCACTGTGCCTTCAGCCCTGTCCTCTTGGGTAGACCCTATGCCCTGTACCCTACAATTGCAGCCACACCTTCATAATGAAAGGTCCTGGCTTTGAAATTTTCTCCATGAATATCTCCACTTTTCCATCCTCCTTTTGGACCCTTGATTAAACCTACTCTTTCATATAAGCTCTTGGTCACCCATTCCAATTTGATCAGCATCAAATAAAAGGCATATTATGACAACAGATTGTTAACTTATTTTTCATCAATGGGTGTTGAATATAAAAGCTTCACTTAAAACCGTGTCATATCAAAGTCCATCATTAACTGGATTTAGTTCCAGAAAGAATTACCTGATTTCAGATGACAGGCTTCCTCCACCATAGAAAGGAAGAAATGTCTGCAGCTGCTGAGCTTTCTCCCTTTTCTTCGATAGATGTGACTGTGAAGTATTGTGCCTGCTTGCAACTTTGTTTTGTCTGCATTAATAAGAGTGTAAGAATTATTCTTTCCAAACTCCTTGCTAACGGCTGTGTTCTAACATTTGGAAGCCTTCCCAATAATGAGACCTTTCCTTTAAGTTGAATAGTAATTAACAATGTCAATTCAGCAGTATTGCTGAAAGCAAACTTTGAATGAAATTTGTCAATAAAGATTTGTTTACACTATTGTATAAAGCGATGTGCACAATCTCCCAATAACAGGGTAGATGGACAATCTATTTGTATTCCAAAATCAAAAATATACAGAATAAACACAGGCGTTAATGGTCATCTTGTGGTGCAGTAGTAATGTCCCTATCCTGGACTATGAGGCCCAGGTTCAAGTTCCACTTGCTCCACAGGTGTGAAATAATATTTCTGAACAGGTTGTTTAGAAAAATAGGTTACATTTTAAAAAATGAACATAATAAAATGAATATAGAAGTTGAAAATTGAATAAACTATAGTGGTCCATCTAATTCATCTTCTATCATCCTGGCAGTCACATGATGCAACAATATGATAATTGGCAAATCTAAATTGTTTGTCAGCATATCTCATTATACACTTGGGATTATCTAATCAATATTGCCCAATTGCAGAGTCCTACCTAATGTCCTTTCCTCCACTCTCTATAATCCTTCGACTCATTACTCATTACAAATTTGTCTATCTCCTCCTTAAATTTAATCAATATCCTAGCATCTACCACACTCTGTGGTATTGAATTCTACAGATTCACAACACTTTGAGAGATGCAATTTTTCCTCATCTCTGTTTTGGATCTGTTACCTCTTAGCCGAAAGGTCTGACATCTCATTCTACATGGGCCCCATTTTAGGAAATATCCTCTCTATGTCTACTTGGTCAAACCCCTTTAGCATCTTATGTAACTCCATTAAATCTCCTCTCATTCTTCTAAATTCCACAGAATATGGACCTAAACGCTCAATCTCCCTTCCCAATCACCCAACCTATCCCTATCCATTTGTAAGGTAAAAAGTCACGCAACACCAGGTTACAGTCTGACAGGTTTACTTGAAATCACAAGTTTATGAAGCGCTACCCCTTCATTCACCTTACGAAGGGGCAGTGCTTCAAAAGCTTGTGATTTCAAATAAACTTGTTGGGACTATAATATGGAGTCATGTGGGTTTTGACTTTGTCCATCCTACTTGAACACTGGCACCTCCACATCATATCCATTTGTAAATTCCTTAATTTTTTGTTGCAATTTACTTTCCCACCTGTAATGTCATCTGCAAATTTGGCTGTAGTACTTTCTATTCCTGCATTCAAGTCATTAAGATAGTTTGGGGCCACTGCTGTTTGTCATTTTTATAAATGACCTGGATGAGGGCATAGAAGGATGGGTTAGTAAATTTGCGGATGACATCAAAGTCGGTGGAGTTGTGGATAGTGCGGAAGGATGTTGCAGGTTACAGAGGGACATAGATAAGCTGCAGAGCTGGGCTGAGAGGTGGCAAATGGAGTTTAATGCAGAAAAGTGTGAGGTGATTCACTTTGGAAGGAGTAACAGGAATACAGAGTACTGGACTAATGGTAAGATTCTTGGTAGTGTGGATGAGCAGAAAGATCTCGGTGTCCACGTGCATAGATCACTGAAAGTTGCCACCCAGGTTGATAGCGTTGTTAAGAAGGCATACAGTATGTTAGGTTTTATTGGTAGAGGGATTGAGTTTCGGAGCCATGAGGTCATGTTGCAGCTGTACAAAACTCTGGTGCGGCCGCACTTGGAGTATTGCGTACAGTTCTGGTCACCGCATTATAGGAAGGATGTGGAAGCATTGGAAAGGGTGCAGAGGAGATTTACCAGGATGTTGCCTGGTATGGAGGGAAGGTCTTATGAGGAAAGGCAGAGGGACTTGAGGCTGTTTTCGTTAGAGAGAAGAAGGTTAAGAGGCGACTTGATAGAGACATACAAGATCATCGGAGGATTAGATAGGGTGGACAGTGGGAGCCTTTTTCCTCGGATGGTGATGGCTAGCAC